CTACAACAGATTGCAACGAACCGCCATGCATGGAGAGTCATGACCTCTGCCCTATGTGCCGCACTTGACACAAGAGGAAAGACTAACTAACTAACTAACTAATGATACAGTCTGATAAAGGCTGATGAAAAAATGTTACTGGCAGAAAGTGAGCAGGATTTACATCACCCAGTGGATCAAGTCAGCAGGTTCCAGAGTATGGCTTAGCAGAGTATGGTTTAGATATAAACAAGTCTGACAGAACGTCGATCTAGCTTACCAGAATAATTAAAATTAGGTGCTGAAGTCGGAGTCAACCAGCCAGGATGAGTACCGTAAAATCAGGATGCCACGCACAAACGCTACAAGAAAAGAATCTATATCTGCGAATACATCCTGTCTCAAAATCATGCACTGAAACACGGAGGGAATTACAAAAGTCAGTGAAGTTCATACTAGAGACAGCATTGCAGATATAGATAATTTATTTCAAACGAACGAAAGAAAGAAGAAGAAGATACCAACAATTGAAACAGAAAAATTGTGATAATTAAGAACCGAAAGGATCAACCAGCAATGAACAACACCGTAAAAGTGGAGATATTAGAACAATAAACAAGTTTCTTCCATCTTAGACACGCAGTAACGGAGGATTGCAGAAGTAAAAAAAAAAAAAATATTAATGGTCAAATCAGTCTTCACTAAGGTGTGACAATTATTGACAGCAGGAGAGTTAAACCACACATGAAAAATGAGAAGCTTCAAATGTTGTGTATACTCAACCCTGTTGTGTGGCGCAGAAACTGGAACGATGAAGAAGTAACTAGAAAATTGAACTGAATCCCTGGAAATGTGAATGTACAAAACAATCAAATACATAGGTTCTGAGGATACTGAGAACGAAAAGATAGTTACTGAAATAAATCAAAGAGAGACAACTGAAATATGTCGCGGCATTAAAATATATAACACTCTTTTTAAAACTTACTTAAGATAAAGATCGAAAATAACAGAGCAAGAGGCGGGCAACAGTACAGGTGGGGAATATTTCGTCAAGCAGTCCGGGAGAGTGTACTACCAAGAGAAGAGATACAGGGTGTTGGAGATGCACTGCAGTCAACTTTCATTGTTGAGATGGCACCCGGCTGATTGAAACAAGATAATTGATTTCGTTTTTAAATGAATGGATCAAGCTTGAACTGTAATAGTACTAACTGTTATGTTGGTTTCGTTTTGCACAGTATTAAAACAATGACTACCGGAGTCGCCGTGCCCCAGCGGCTAGACGCTCGCCGCGGATCGGAAGGTCGTGGGTTCGCTCCCTGGCGGAGCCGGACTTTTTAAAAAATGACCTTGGCTCCCATGTCGCCCCAGCCTTGAGTGGGTACCGGGTGCAGTCCCGGGAAGTAAAGGCGGCCGGCGTGATGCTGACAACATCACCCATCTTGTGCTGATTCTACAAAAATATAGTTTCTAGCCCTATTTGCCATATACGCCTAAAGGCGCGAAAAAGTGTCATTTACTTTCTTTTTTGTCTTAAAACAATGACTAAAGGTTTTTTTTTTTTTTTTTTAATGAAGCATCCTCCCGACTAATGTTATAATGCTCAGCTTAGAATAGTTAGCAGGAAATGTTATGATAAATAAAGATGACCGGCGTGATCATCCCTGCCGATTGGTCACTTAAAAAATATAGGTCTATCCCTACTTTACGTCACTGGCTTAAAAAGAGATTTTAATAATTACATTTATTATTTTCCAGGCGGAAATGCGGAGCAAATGCGAGTCTGGGGTAACGAAGGGCACGAACTCATGCAAATGCTTCACTTTTTCTTTGCCATTGGAGGCGTTATTGCCCCTTTGTATACAGGACCATTCCTTGCCCAGACGTCAACAGCGAACACTTCTGTAGCAAATCTTACCAACTCAACAGATGAACCAACAATTGTTCCACAAACACCACCAGTCACAACAGACGTTGGGTACGCATACATAATAACAGGCGTCTTCTGCATTGTATCTGGAATACCATGGCTTGTCATTTACTTACAAGATAAATGTGGCAAAGGAAGTGATTTTATAAAAGCTACCGGAGCCGTTACGCAAAGGAAGCTACCGTTGTCAATAATGTTGTATTTGATTTCCATGATTTGCTTGATGTATATATTGTACGTCTGTGCTGAAGTAACATTTTCCTCATATCTTATGACCTTCCTTGTGAACCAGTACAATGTGGGAAAGTCCACAGGAACAAATGCTACTTCTGTATTCTGGGCTTTTTTTGCCGCCTCTAGATTCGCAATGATCTTCATATCTCAATACGTCACAGCTGTACAGTTATTGTTTATATCCTGTGTTCTTATGATTATAACAAGTATATGCTTTACAATCGCCGCAGTGTTCAACGCAATTGACGGAATGATTGTTCTTACTGCGTTCTTTGGCCTTAGTGTCTCCGCTGTGTTTCCTGCTGGCTTTTCGTGGACTGAATCTCACTTGATGAAAGTGACATCGTGGGTGTCTGCTTGCATTCTGATATCTTCTTCATTGGGTGGGATGGTTATCCCAACTCTTCAGGGGTATCTGATGGAAAACGAAAGCAACCTATGGTTCTGCTACCTCCTGTTGATTGAGATTATTCTTATGGTCCTGGTGTTTGTAATCTTGTATATCTCGGCTAGATTTTATATCAACAAGCGTTATATCTTTATCAACGAAGTATCAGAAATAGAAACGCTAAAACCATCATGGGATTCATCAAAAATATAGTTGATAACTGTCATTTGGAACATTTTTCTTGATCTGTTTATGCTTAACTGTGTTTGACAAGTCAGTATGCTATGGGACAGGGCCCAAGAGCCACATTTGACCCGCGGAGGCTTAGAAAGTGACCCTCGTATCATTGCCATTTGTATTGCATTTATTATCTTTGTATGATGGGATTTGGACCGCCGGCCTGTGACGAACCCATTTTTAAATTTTGGCCCCTCGGTAGACTTTGTTGAATAGCTCTGCTATTGGAGATTGAAAACAGCACCATGACTGAGATAGCAATCTGTCATTAATGCCTTATATGATAACATAAGGTGGATGATTTATTACAGAGATAAAGAACAGAACAGGATAGGCACAATTTTTATAAAGATAAAAAACTCCTTATGCTACAAATCCGTGTCATTGGAGGAATAATTGTTATTGCATGCTAAATAAACCCGGTGTTAATATATGACTGTGAATCTTGGACAATTAATGAACAAGCCAAACAATCTCCTGGGGTATCACAGATATGGTTTTAAAGAAGTACGCTTCAAATTCACCGGGCATCCCCCTCCTCCTAACCCCTCCCCCCCCCCCACACACACACACAAAAGAGAATAACTCAGATTTTCTTAAAGAGGTGAGGGCAACAACAACAACAACAAACAAAATAAAAAAAAAACATATCATAAACATCAGAAGTAGACATTATCTTCTCTTGGCGATGTTATGCTAATAGAGAAAGTGGAACTTTTTGTAACCATTGAAAAAACCATGTTAAATGAGAAAAGGGAGAAGATAAACGGGGTAAAACTCAAGACAGCCATTTGTCATGGCATTAAGGGACGTCAGTTTGCAAGCTGATACGTGCTGTTGGAGATCACAGGTTGTGGAGAGTCATGATCGCCCACGCCAATCAACAAAGCATTTGTTGATGACGATCATGATGATGGTGATGTTGATGATAATAATGCTATCGCAAAAGGTTCACCGATTTCACTCCCCCCCCCCACCCCCCCCCCCCCTTTGATCTGTATAGTATCACTTCAATCTCCAAATCTCTCCTGTAAGATTTTTTGTGTGCCTGCCTTCCTTTCTTTGACTTGTAAGTTCCGGCGCAGTGATATTCTAGTTATCCGTTATTCGGCTTCTAAATATGTTTCATATCCAACATCACACTATTTCCTTACCTCATAATTTACTGAAATTCGCTTACTTCTCTCTCAAAGCTCCACATTAAGGATTTTGTCATACCAATTAACGCCTTCATTTGTAAGTAGAAATTAGACAAACCCAAAGACAACGTTAATGAGAGAGGCCAAAGATACTGGACAGAATTCCACCCATGATATCGAAAAGATTACACATGATAAACGTAATATAGGAACAGAGTGCAAGTACTTTGTCATGAATAAACAGCCCAAAAGGGTGATTATGATATTGTCGGTAATGGTGATGATGACGATATTGATGATGATAATGATCCTACTTGGATATTAGTTAATCAATGTTTCTAACTGTTATTGACGTTAACATATTAATTAAATTTCACGCTGCCTGTGAATAAAACAAGAGATTGTGTCTCAAGTGGCTGTGTCTCTTTAAATATTGTTCAAATTAATCAGCACATCTGTCTTTGAAAGTAAAGAAGACGAGTGATGTTGAAGATATCCCCCACTCAATACCGGTTGGTCTATGTCAATATGATTCTAGCAACATATACCTGATGCGTCATTGGCTTACAAAAGGGATCCTGTAATGACAGTCGACGTCTTTGCACATTAGGCATCTCCATGCGTGGCCAGTCATCCGATGCAGCAGGAACTCCAAGGTACCTCAACTGATTGTTCTTATGGGAGTTGGTTATAGTATCTCCTGTCTTTACCTCGAAGATGATATAGACGTTCTTCACCAAGCTAAACTCCTCACTAGTCCTGTTTAAATCATTAACATTAGACATGAATGAATTTATATGTACAAATATATATATATGCCGTCCGTAAAATAGGATTGTGGTTGTTCACTAAACCAAGCGTTTACCGTGTCAACGTCGTGGTATCGACTGTGTACACAAATTCCGATTCTGCAGTTTCCTGAGAACAATCTTTCTAACTGCCTCAATTTACACATCAAAGTCTCTCCCTAGCGAAGGCATGCTTCGACAACGGTTCACCTGTATTGCTGCATCAATGTTGGCAATTATGTGTTTTTCTGTTCTTCTTCTGTTGCAATAATGACTGACTGACTGACTAACTTTCTACCCCACTAGGACATCACACAAGCGATAAACACCCGATGACACAAAGTGCCACCATGTGGATGAGGATCACCGTGGAGAGGTCCCAGAAACCGCGTTCAGACAATTGGCCATATTTATGGCCTGGCTATATTGCGGCCCCTGACATGAGCCAGGGTAGGGCTTCAAAAAACAAAAAATTTCGTCCTAAAAAGGACGAAACAACTATTGCCATAGGCTAGCTAGTTACATCACTACATGACATTTGCAATAAAAAGCGCTTGACGCGGTTGTGGAAGGTCAGTCGTGAAGTAACATCCTTTCCGAAACATTCGTACCAAGTCTATCACTGTTGTCTTCGACACACGTTTGTTACCGCACGCTGCTTGCTTTCTTCAATAAATGTTCTTTGGAAAAGACCCATGAAGGAAACTAAATTTGAAACTCTTTGAGTTTCTTTGGCAGATTTGAGATCAGCCCATCTATTTTCTCAACGGTCACAAACAGAACCCATGCATCCCACACAAAAAAGAGGCGATAAACAGGTACACTTTTATTCAATGATAAGTACTTTTCACATGACCATGGCATGACCATGTTCAACGCATTCAATTACGCGTGATACAGCACGAATAGGTTTCAAATGAAGACTCTTAATATTATAATTTTTTTGGGGCCACTGAACACACTATTCTTTTACTTATTTTTGTTCATTATTATTGTTCTCTTAAACTAGAATAAGGCCTCTTCAGCGGCCTTCCACATTTTGCCTTGACAATTTGTAAGGCGAAAAAAGGGGGAGGGCTGATGTGGTATAGGAGATAGCTGTACGCTTCCTTGAATATTTTTCTTTGTGTCAGCGCGCGCCCACTTTATTTGTTATGTTACGTTATCACAATCGACGTCACTGCACATTGGACATTCCAGTGGGTGCTCAATCCACTGACGCAGCAGCCATCTCAGCTAAATTTCCCTAGGATAAGTTGGTTTCAATGTCTCCGGTATTGACCTCCGAGAGGGCACCGACATGCTTCACCAGGCTTCACTCGAGATCAAACATTTTGTATGCGTGAGAGTGTGTGTGTGTGTGTGTGAGAGAGAGAGAGGTAGAGAGAGAGAGAGAGAGAGAGAGAGAGAGAGAGAGAGAGAGAGGGAGAGAGAGGGAGGGGGGGCATTCAAATGGATTTGAATAAGTTAAGTTAAAACATTACCTGTTGTCCAGAAAAATGCCAGTTTTTAATGCCCAACTAACTTCTTCTTCTTCTTCTTCATGTCAACCGGATGGAACGCCAACGGAATGTTCTTATGGTTTGTCCAATTCTGGACTTTAGTCTTGCTCCATAACTTGAGTTTTTCCTGCACATCCGTTTTACACATCTGGCTTATTTGTATGCAGACTGTTGGGTCCTCGTCTCTCAGGCAGATGCATTAAGTCTGTGAAGGAAAACCCATAATTATTTGCTTTTTGCGACAACCTTTCTATAAAGGGGGGGGGGGGGCAGCGAATCTACTCCCCCCCCCCCCCCATCCCTCAAATGGGTCCGTAACCAACACTGGGAGTCTACTAAGAATAATATTCTTTGCTCCTTCTGCCTACTAACAATAACGAGAGCCGCGGAGGTTCAGTATACATGGCAAAATTGTTCATAGGTTCGAATCTATTTTGATGTGGATACTTCAGTTACTACTGGATCCCGGTCTGTGCTTGACAATACTTAAATCGTCTTGGTGTATGTAAAGCTGGCCTTATATATTTTTGTCAAGACCAGATGACAATTTCTCCGGCGCATTCATGAATGTTGGGAAATGAGCAGATAGCCAGATTGTGTGGTTCTGGGCCAGTGGTTCGGTGAATATATGCATGACATTTAAAATGTGGTCAAGGCCCTTTTGGAGCAAGTGAGCAATGCGGAGGCATTTGGTCAGAAGGGATTTGGTCGGCACTCTACACTCAGAGAAAAGGGATACAAATAAAAGTATAGATCCCTTTTTACGCCTTCAGGCATATCGGTTATATGGGAAGAGTGCCCATATTTTTACAGACCAACCGGCACTAGGTGGGTAATGTGGTCAGCATTACTCCGGCCGTCTTTACTTCCCCAGGACAGCCATCCTGGTATCCATTTCAGGGTAGGTCGACCTGCGACGCCCCATACCATGATTAGAATCCACGCAGCCAGCAGTAGATTTCAATCTCGGTACGTTGGAATTAGAGTCGGACTCGCAACGCCTAAGCCACAGACACCACAGAGGGAAAGCATGGCGGAATTTAATCAAACAGATACTGGCCCCATTGGAACCGGAAATGTTCACTGGCTGTTGAAGACAAGGAATCTTAAAGGAATGTCCCGAGTGATGTCAGTTCTTAGCTCAAAACGGGGTCTTCGTGGCGAAGACGTCAAACCATTTGCCTCGCGCTGTGAAAGTCGTCGGTTCGTTTCACGACGGCAACGTTCAGTTCACGAGTGCAATTATTCGTCGCCGGAGATATTCACTATTTTTAATACTCGTCATCCCCTCAGGAACGGAATAATGGTGAATATTGAAGCTCCACCGTATATTTCAAACTGTAGCAGTCCACTGACATGTATGGTCCCGAAACATGGAGCACAATTAAGAGAGATTACGCCTTATTGCTGAATTTTGAAAACAGTCTTATGACGACATTTTGGGTCCATCAAATCTTCTTCTTCTTCTTCTTCTTCGCGTTCACCAGCTGTACACTCTGGCGGAAGGTTCTGGTTGCTCGTCCACTACTGAACTGCAGTCCTGCTCC